ATTGTTCACAAAATTTTCATTGTAAGACTTTTAACAGTTTTAGTAATTTATAATGGTTTTACAAAATTTAAATTATAACATAAAAAATATATATATAGTTTGTTATTATACGGTTAATTTGATTGTTTAATTTTTTAATAACATAAATTAAAAAAAAATGATGGAGGATACAAAAGTTATTATCAAATCTATGTAAAATCATTAATTATCATATATATGTTAATCATATTAGGTAATTCCGTAGGTTTTACATAAGGAATGAAAAATATTCTTTATGCACTACAAATCATTTTGATAGTTAATTTAATAAAACAATAAAAAGTATACTTTACATGGACCAACATACTTTTCTAAGAATTTTTAAGAGTGATCTCAGTGATGACACGTGGTTACACTTAAATGTTGTAATGCTCCATGATTAATATATAGGGGATTTATATTGTTTCTGGTAAAGAAAAAATATCAGTAATTAACTAAGCTGTTTTACACAAAAAGAATGAACTGAACTAAATTTTTATTTTGAATTCAATAAAAGAAAAGAAGAAAAAAAACCTATGGTTACAATCAACTGGAGAAAGTGTGTATGGAAGCTACAAACAACGCCAAAGATAAAGCTATTTGTGTGGAAAATGTTCCATGGGGCACTACCTGTTGGAGAGGAGCTGCTGATTAGAAATATCAATACATATGGGAAATGCAAAGTGTGTGGTATGTCTGAATCTATATCTCATCTATTCTTTGACTGCAGTTTTGCAAAGAAAGTTTGGGCTGCTACTCCCCTGATGCCTAACGTTGAGAATAGAGGAACGATAGATTTAGAAACTACCTGGATCAGTCTTTGTGAATGAATCAATCTTCCACCACCTGGAGTCGCGGTGAGTAGATTAGCTCCATGGATCTTATGGCAACTTTGGCTTGCTAGGAACAATGCTGTCTTTAATGATAGATGGTTATTCCCTGAAGATATCGTTTCAAAAGCGATCTACTCAGCTAGAGAATGGGAATTAAATCAGATAAATCAGACAAAGAGGAAACCAACGGCTAAAGCACCAACTCCATTACCTGGAAACTGTGTCCTGGTTTGATCGGATGCAGCATGGAATGCAGAAAACCTCACATCGGGACTCGGGTGACCATAAAAGACGAGCACAGAACTAGGCTATTTTCGGCGACTAATCGGTTTGTAGGGTCCCCTCTCATGGCGGAAGGATTAGCTCTTCGAGAAGCAATTTGGAGCTGTAGACAACTAGGATACACAAGCATCGTGTGTGAATCAGATTCAACTCAACTCATCCAAGCGGCGAACTCAATTTCTATCGCCTTGGAACTTCACGACATTATCGCCGACTTCGTTTCACTCGAAAAATCCTTTGATAACATCTCCTTTCGCTGGATCTCCAGAGTGAAAAATAGTGAAGCTGATGAATTAGCAAAACAGAGTTTGGCAGATGAGATTGCCTTTAATTGTATTACCTAACTTTTGAGGAGTTTTAAATATAAGTTTGTGTTTCAGAAAAAAAAAAAAAAAGAACTAACTTTTTATTTTCAGACCATAAAACTCAACCAAGAACCAAATTGCAAACTGCAGATGATGCAATCAAAAGGTTAATAGGTAAATGGCTTAATCAAGGTCTGTAAGAAGGTTGTGATCACTGCTAAGATCAAGTCGAGAAGGAGTTGATAAAGTGTCAAGGCCGCTGATAAAATATATGAACAAACTTACTATTCATTGATTTAATGTTTAGTAATGCTAAAGTGTAAATTGTGTGTTTTCAAATTTATTGAATGTCATGGTAACTATTTTGTCTTGCAATGATTAAAATAGTGTAAAACATATATTTATTTATATTGGTTAATAGGATATTTGAAAATCTTCAAATTTGTTGATACTTCATCAAATGACCACATATATATATAGAGAGACATTAAGTTAATATACAACTAAGAATTAAAAAAAACTTACATAATTAGTATACTAATTTTAACCTTACAAGAGTATTTGATATTTTTAACTTGTTATTGTTATGTCTATATATATAAAAGAGTGTTTTCTTCGTTCATGGTTTCTCCACGTCATCTGCCACGTCCGAAAGTAGGGCGTTGGCGATTTGACACGTGTCTTTGTATTTAGGATGCGCTGTTTAGTGCATTTAGGACCGTCGTGGGCTTCTTTCATTTGTTTGGAATTAGGTTTTGGACTAGGCAAGTGTTTCCGGCCAGATTAAGTCAATGTCTCCCTAACCCTAATACATCCGTAAACAAGAAACTAAGAAGCTCGTCTCTCCTCTTCCTGCGACGGCGGCCTGATGCCGTTTGCGCTTCTTCTCACCATCTGAAACGGTCTGCATAAAGGCTTCGTGTTTAATCACATTGATTCATTCCCCCACTATGTTGTCTTCAATGCTTTGTTTTGGTATGATTAGCGGTGATATCTGTATAAATATGTGTCAGTAGTCCTCTCATTGATCTCATCTTAACTTTGTAATGCTTATATCTCATACTGATTACTTTCGACATGGCTGATTCAAGGGTTTTTTCCTCCGATCTGAAGTCCAGCAAGCGCTCCTTCATTGTCGAGGCTAGGCATCTGCGGTTCTGGGAGGCCATAAATGTTAAACGTGGTGGTGAACTCATGTGGGTCAATATACTAATGGGGGATGTAAATGTAAGTTAATTTCCAGATTTTCATAGTTGTGTATCTAGATCTTCAAGGCCAGTAGTCCTCTCCTTCATCTCATTTTAATAATAAAGTTGAAAATAAAACAACATTAAGAAATTTATTTGTAAATAATTTATAAGAGAAATAATGGATATGTTTGCACGAATTATGTAAATGTGTGTCTAATGCAGCGGAAGCTACGATAACACAATGATCTTATTTGATCTAAAAAACCTAAGAATTGATGTCTTCTTGTTTTGCTGAGAACTCTAAAGTTCTAGCCGTAACAAGAAAATAAAGGGTTTCAAACCCTTCTTTTATTAATCAAATCATAAACTAAATGCAAACCAAAGTCTAAACGGCTATATATAGAAAACCATAAAACCTAAATACACCCAAAAGCAATACAATAAAATCACCTATTTAATAATATAATTAATAAAATAAAATGTAACATATTTGAAATATTTCCAAATATTTATCTGCACTAGTTCCCACCACATTGTCAAGTTTTTTCATTAATGTTCTGGTTATTATGTATTTAAAAAAATAAGTGCAAGAACAACTTTCAATCAATGATAAGGTAGAACCCATAGGATTAATAAAACTGATCTTAAATATTATTTATATCTGTTATTATTTTTAAGAAATTTTTATTAGACAATTCTCTAAAATAGATAAGGTTTTGTCATAAAATAGAACTCAAAAAATAAAATGACCAAAATAGCATTTTTTATTTTGAAAATTTTAATTTTTTTTTTATATTTTAAAATTTGAAATCCTATTCCTAAACTCCACTTCTCAAATCTAAACCATAAACCTTAAACTCTAAACCATAAACTCTAAACCTTAAACCCTACACCCTTAACCTCACCTCTTAACTCTAAACCCTAATGTTTAGATTAATAATCCTAGAGGTATAAGTGTATATTTACTTCTTTTGATAAAACATTTAAGTTTATTTTGGTCATTTTATTTTTAAGGTTTATATTTGTGACAAAACTTTCTTAAGTCTATCCTAGAGAATTTCTCTTTTTATTTCTATTATTATATTATTTAATGAAATTTTAAAAATATTTATATTAATGATGATTTATGAGTTATTACTATATTCTCAAAGATTACCAAAAATTAAATTAAATAATAAATGTAGTTGTTTATGTGATATTTAACCATAAGTCATGTCATCAATTCTAATATATCATTTCACATTCTTTTGGTGAAAGTGATTTTAGAGATGACATATGTGAAATCATTTCACTAGTTTAGAGGGATTTCTATTGGATACTAATCTCACTCAAAGTTAAATGAATTTAACTCAAAACATACTAAAGTCAAATGATACAACCTTGTTGTTGAGGATTGTTCACATGAATGGTCAAAGCAAACATGTGTGTTTCCCTCCTCTGCGTGGGATTCTGTTTCTTGCCGCGGAATGTCTTTCCAAGGCACGAGTAAAGCTGGTGAGATCATTATTGTCACAAGCGTGGTGTTGGCAATCAAGGTCCAAACCTTCTACATATTCTACTACAATGTCAGAAGAGTTAGGCTCCTAGGAATTGGAGACAATAAAGAGTTTCAACGCTCTTATGGATTCCTAAGCAAGTATGAATGTTTTGCCTTTCTTAAGAATCATGTAACCTAGTCCTACTTATGTAAGAAAGCGTGGTAAAACAACACGTTGTTTTCTCCAATTTTTGAAACTAGAAAGGCTTTATGAAACCTCAAGAAAAAAAAGATGTTTAGTGACAGTTGAGTTACTACTTCCTAGAGTACAGGACAGAAACTAATATGCAATATTGTTTAACCTCAAGCGATGGCTCAGTATAACCTATTGAGAAAGATCAATTCCAGTTCACAACATGCTGAAACATGATATACAAAATGCTTGAGAGTTGTCAACTACACAACTAAACATGATTGTGGTTGTATGCCATTGCCATGCCTGATGCAGATGCAAGATTTGTTTTATAACACCATCCAAATTCTAAAATGTCGCCAGTGCTAGAAGGCACAATTACAATAGATTTAAAGACTAATAGTGACATTAAAGTTTGACAATTATATAATCTTCAACCAAATTGAAACGTAATATCTTGATCATAATTCATAATTTGACCTTAAGAATAGAGAAGACATTTCTGATCAAGACAATAGTGTTATCAGATGCTTATAGTTTCCCCCAAGAAAACATGTCAAAAATTACCAGTGGTGTTTGAAATTAAGTTAATCGAGCTGCGATTTGCAGTGGCAATAGTAATACAGGTAATCGTACATCAGCAAAGAATCTTCTAAAGCTACCAAGGACCAACGTGATGCCTCCAAATAAGCGGAACAAAACTCAGAGCTCGGTTTTCATATCATTGCCTAGTTGACTGAACATGATGCCTATATCCATTCCTTGATTCATCGTTGGTATGACTTGCGAGTAAGGGCATTGTTTGGAAAAGCCAACCTTTTTGTTTTTGGATTGTTTTATCGATTTGCTTAGCCTGTTTAAGCATTTCTTGAACTTCTTATGGCAGCTTATGTTAGTCATACCTGCCAAAAATTGGGAAATAAATCACCAACGGAAGGTTTCAGCATAAGCGTGGCAGCTAAAGAGCAATGGTTAACCATTTGCAATTCGTAGTAACAGATGATAAACCCAAAACTAATAACAAGGGTAGTGAACCTTTTGATTAATTTGCATTCTTAAATGATGAAAACAGTAAGGTATTTGGATTCTTGAATGATATTTACCATTTGCCTCAACGCAGCTGTCATGGACCATACAACAAGCATCAAGATCATCACAAGGCTCCTCACCAGGACATCCAGAGTGTCCAATCCCACAGTACTTCCCGTACCGAATAGAAAGTGCTGAAAACAAACGATATCAATAAATAAATATATAACGCAAAAAGTAACAGATTGAAGCTTACTGTCGCAATTCTGCGCAATGCATTTTCTTGAGCACTCCTGTGGCAATTTGATTCAAGCAAACATCAAATCATTAATGAAGTGAAACAGCAATTCAATGTTCCAATTAGTCAGTTTCATAAAGCTAATAGTTTTACAACAATGCGATCCTGTTTTCGGGAAACTGTTAGATTCGCAGAGATCAAGTCAAGGAGAAAAGGTTAAACCTCGCTGCGAACGACGTTGACGAGGAAGAGGAGGACAAGGAAGAAAGCAGCCGCGACACGCACAGAAGAAGAGCTAATCATCATTGTCTCTTCAGCTAGTAGAAAGAATCTTCTGGATTTGATTGATCTTCGAAAATAACTGAGTCTCCTTGAGATCTCATTGGTTCTTCTTCCTGCTTTCTCGCCAAATCTATCATTAAAAAATATTATATCAACTGATCTATGACGAATACTATCAAAACTAGCATAAGACCTGCGCCTTGCGCATGAATATACGTAATTAAAATATAAAATTTTAGTATTGATAAATTTAAAATTTACATAGAATTGTTTTTATATGTATTTGAAATTTTAGAAATTTTAAATAATTATTTATACGTAGGACCATAAACAATTGTAATTAGAACTGTAGATCAAATCTTAGAATTTAATGGACCCGATCTCATATATCTTTTCACCTTTTAGTGTTCGAGTGATGGAAAATAAACAGAGTGTCATTGGGCTTGATTGGTAGAGTATTAGCAAATCTTCTAATGTTTTTTTTTAAGAAACATTTGGTAAAATAATTGCATTTAAAATATATAAAGTTTCAAAACTAATTTAATATAATTTATTTATTTGCATAATAATATTAGAAAACTATATTTTTTACAAATTATTATTTTAAAATAATTTTATAAACAAATAAGTTAAATTTTAAATTATTTTTAAAAACAATATATTAAGTTTGTCAAATACAAATAAAAAATTTAAAATTAATTATGGTCATGATTTAACATAACCATAATGATTTAAAAAATTAAACAAAAATAAAAAATTAACAAATTAAAAATTAACTCAGTTTTATATCATGATTTAACAATTTAAAAATTAATTATGGTTATGAGAAGTTTAAGTTCACGTGTTAATCCTATTTATCTTCAATTTTTTTTGTGTTTTTTTATATTTTGGTTATTACTCGATATAAATATTGATTTTGAAGTTTATTCTCATTTCGTTTATTTTTTTGACCTGGGATTTAGAAAATACTTAAGATTTAAAATAATTAAAAATATACATACTTAGGTTAAGATCTGCACTTTATGCACAATAAGTATTTTATATTTATAATTTATTTTATAATTTTCTGCATATCATAAAATAATAAAATAATAAATATGTATTACATAACTAAGAAATCAGTCACTATTATGTAATAAATTGACGTATGCATATAAATTTAACTATCACTCTTTTTTATTCGCAATTAGCGTAAATAAATCAAAATAATCAATTTTATATATTGTATATGATATATAATTAAATTTAAATGATATAAACATAGTAATATGGCACACTTTTAATATTGATATTTATTACATGAGGTTTCTACTCATATGATTTTATGATTATTTGCATATTTGTGTAACAAAACTTTACACCAACGATTTTTTTTAATGTGAGATGTTTAGTAGTTTCAATAATTTATAATCATTTTTTAAAAAATGACATATTTCAAAATTAAAATATTAACTTTTCAATATATGTTGAAGACAATCAAAATATAAGTATGTATTTTTATACGATTCATAGTTTAATTAAAACGATATGAAATATGTATATAAACTAAAATTATTTCTTCATATGGTCTTATAATCATTATATTTTAATATTGAAAACAAATTAAAACCTTGATCCTAAAAATTTATGTAAGACTTTTAACAATTTTAGTAATTTATACTCATTTTGAAAAATTCGAAATACAACATACACAAAAAAAAAATCTAAATTTTTATTATATGATTAATGTAATTGTGTAATTTATTTTAATAATAAATAAATAAACTAAATGAGAAAAAGTATACAGATTGTTATCAAATCTTTATTGTTTAAAATCATTAATTGTCATATATATTTTAATCACATTAGGTAATTCCGTATGTTTTATTTAAGGAAAGCATGCGAAACAATAAATATTTGATATATGCGATCAACTATAATCTACGAAATATTATATGACTTATTCTTGGGTTCACCCCCCCTAGAGGTTCACCAACCAATAGCATGATGTTATTTCATATTTGATATCTTTTAGAAAAGGAAATAAAATCTTGTTAAGTTATATTATGTTTGTAAAATAAAAATAAAAAATAAATAAAATAATAATAATATTTAAAAAACGAAATTATTATTTTAAGAAAATTATTTTAACATTATATTATGTTTTAAAATTAAAAAGATAAAAATAAAATAAAAACAGTAATAACTGCAAAAACAATTTTAAAAAATATTTTAATATATCATTAAAATGAAAACAAAATATTGTTGCATTATATTAGTTTTATTGATTTAATATTTAAAAATCGAAAAATAAGAGAAAAATAAATAAAAAACAGTATAATTGGTTAGTATTAATTTTATTGATTTAATGTTTAAGATTTTTCCAAAGGGTTTATGACTTATCCAAGGGTTTAGGGTTTATGATTAGGGTTTAGTGTTTATGATTTACCCAAGGGTTTAGGGTTTAGGATTAGAGTTTAGGGTTTAGTATTTTAGTGTTAAAATAATTATTTTAATTTTTTTTTATAAAAGTTATCTAAACTTTTATGATTTACCCAAGGGTTTAGGTTTTAGGATTAGAGTTTACGGTTTAGTGTTAAAACATTTTTTTAAATGATTTTCGTTTTTATTAATATTATTATTTATTATTTATTTTTGTATTTTTATTTTTAAAGACATAATATAATTTAGCAAGATTTTGTTTCCTTTTTTAAAAGATATCAAATATAAAATAATGCAATCCTATTGGATGGTGAACCTAAGAATAACTCATATTATATTACTAGAGAATATAATTTTTAGACTATACATTATATCACATGCTCTAGAATCCCTGAGATTTGAAATAGAAGCCAAATAGCTATGCCACATAGGATTGAAGTTATTTTTAATTCTTACAAACTTAAGGTTACAACTTTTTAAATGATTCTCAAATAATATATAAGGGATTATCAAAAATAGATTAAATTTTCTTAAGACCATTTCCAATAGATTTTGTTATTTTCTCCTCTAAAACTCTATAATAAAATTGATTTTGATTCATGTATTTTTCTAATATAGCAAATTCTAGATATTGAGTAGTATAGGGGAATCTTATTTTTATCTACAAAGAGAGGAAAAAAATAATATATAAATCAATACTATTAAAACATAAATAATATCTATGTACTCACAAGTATTTTACGTTGGACCATTTCATTTATTTAGTTTTTATTATTTTAAAGCATAAACTTAGTTATTATTAAGAGTAATTCTTTAAATAAATATTTTTTTTTTAAAGTTTTTGTCACAAAAATAGAACTAAAAACTAAAATGACCAAAATAGTATTTTTTTTTTAAAATTTTAATTTTTTATTTTATTTTTAAAAATTTGAAATCTTATCTCCAAAACTCCACTTTTAAACTCTAAACCCCAAATCCTAAACCTTAATCCCTAAATCCTAAACCTTAAACCCTAAAAGTCACTTCTTAACTCTAACCCTAATGTCTAGATTAATTAACCCTAGGAGTATAAGTGTATATTTACTTATTTTAATAAAATATTTAAGTTTATTTGTAACAAAAAAAATTCTAGATCTATCCTAGAAAATTTCTCTATTATTAAATATACACAAATTTCTTTCAAAATAAAATATCAAAAATATTATTAAGTATCTTTTCTGATATTACATTTTAATAATATCTTTTAGTATATTTTTATTTAAAATATAGATATTTAATTTTCAATATTTATTTCAATTAAGAAATGCGTATGATTTTTAAATTTATTAGTATTAGTTCATTTTGATATATAGAACAAGAAATAATATTTCTGTAATATTTTATATACATATCTCATATTTATAATTATAATATTACAGTAAATAATATATATAAATAACTTGATCTATATATTATACTGTTTTATAAATTATAAATTACAAGAATTACATGCAGTGGCGTATTTATACAATGAGATTGTACCTAATAAATTCGTGCCAAGTAAAAGTCAAAACTACTGTTATTATCATATTATATTATTATATAATATTATTCTGTTAAAAAGCTTCATTTCTGTTGACAAAAAAAAAATATTTTCTAATTTTTTTCACACAAATTAATAAAAATTAGTATTTAGTTATAAATAAAGGGATAATTTTTCAAATACACTATCTATGAATTTTAATTTGGAAAATTCATTGGTTTTAACCAAGTTGTCATGGTCTAATGGTAAATGGAGTCTAACTGGAGTTTCTATCCTGGATCGTAGTCACACTCATGGCTGTCTTAAATGGCAAAAATGTTCGAATTTCTATAAGCTTAGTGGAATTAGTTTTTATGTTAGTAACTAAAATAACATTAGTGATAGTTTGGTAATTATGTTTTTAATAGCTATTACAGTAGTAACAATAAAGAAGAGTACTAAACAGAAAATGCAATCTCGAAAAAAGGAAAATCTAATAATGTTTTGAGAAGGAGGATTCAAGAAGAACTAAATCTCAAGTACTTAGTTTGATAAACCATTCAAGATTCATTAAGAGTATATACGTACTGGTTCACTTCACTTATTTTGCACTCCTCATAGGTCAAAATAGTAATAAATCAAAAGAATTGACAAAATTTTCATATGCAGAACTGAATATATTTCGTTTTGGCAATTTGTTCTTAAGGAAGAACATTATTATTTAGTTTGATTGTTTGTAGTATTTAAAATGGTTTTTGGTTATTGTTTCTGAAAAACCACTTTATTTGCCAACAAAATTTTGTTAAAAATGATTCTCCTAAAACTAGTTTTTCAAATAACTACCTAGTTCTACACAAAAACCAAAATCTGTATTTTCTTAGCTTTTGGACAACATTGTTTTTTCATTTATCATTTTAATTTTTATCTTTTTAATGATTTTTTTTTGATGAAATTTCAAATTTATTGATCTATCAAAAGAACGTTATTTACATTGTGGACTGTTAGAATTATGAGAGTAAGAGAAGTAGTAAGAATTTAGTTTATCGAGAATGAAGAACATGAAGAATAAGAGAGAGAGAAGGAGAAAGAATAATTTCCTTTGATCTGAAACAAAAGTCATTACAATACATTATAATGAAGAAGAACATAAAGCAGGTTTGTCTTACTCAAGAAGCCAAACACACTTGATTTCATAAGAAAGCCACAATAAAATATATAAATATTTGATTTTACTGTAGCTCCCTGGGTACTGTTCATGTTGGCAAACTTTAGCAAATTTTGTTAAACTTCAATGCATTTTATTTACTTCTTCACGTTAACATGGACTATACTAAAAACAAAAGCAATTAGTCATCAAAGTATCTATCCTTTAGGAACTAAGCTGAAATCATCTTTGCAGTAAACCTCCATACTTATGATCATGCTTGTACTTGAAAGAAGTAATTCTGTTTCTCATCGCCTTGTCCACCCTGCTGATGGCGCCTTGCATTTCGCTCCCTCCACAGATGATAAATTGTTGCCTGCAGCAAAAGCTTAGCCAAGACAGTGTTCATTTCCAATGGCCTCTTTCTCTGCAAGTGTTGCACTGTCCAGTGCTAGTCCGGGTTTATGCTGTTTCCCATGATTCTCCTCGCTAAACACTCCCACACCGTATATGAGTAAGGACATGCAAAGAAAAGATGGTCCCGCTTCTCATCTCTTTCTCCACACAACTCACAGATTTGTATCATTCCCCATTGTCTCATGCGATCCCCTGTATATAATCTGTTCTTCATAGCCAACCAAGTAATAAAGGAAAACCGTGGAATCCGTTGTGTGAACCAGACTACTCGACTCCATTCTACTACAGTCTGCCTTGATCTTATTTTCTCCCACGTACTAGAGGTGGAAAAGTGGTCCCGGAAATCTGCACTTACATGCCTCCACTGAACTATATCCACCCCCTTTTCAGGCCTTGGTGGCTCCCTGTCCAAGATACTCTTTTGGAGATCCTGGTACCGACGACTTCTCCTCCCTTTGATGCTCCAATCCTCCAATGGCACAGCATCACACACCTTTTTGTGTCGCCTAATAACCCAAATAAGTGGGGCCAGTAGGACCCGTGATGTCAATTAGCCTCCCCTGCACCAACCAATCATAAAACCAGAAGTGGCAAGTTGTACCATCCTTTACATCAATCCTGAAAAACTCATAAGCCACACCCTAAATTTGAGCAACTTCCTCCAGATCAGGATCCTTTGGTATCCTCACTAACATCCCAAAATGAGTTGTATTTGAGCAAATAATGTTTCCCCCAACTCACCCATAAGGAGGAAGGCTGAGTGAACAAACACCAAATGAGTTTCAAAGCAAAAACTCTATTTGATTCCCGTAGCTTTCTCACTCCAAGCCCATCTTCTTATTTTGGCACACGTAAATCTTCCCAACTAACCTTAGCTTTGTGCGTCTGAGTAGGAGAACCCGACCAGAGGAAAACACTACACATACTCTCAATCTTTTTTAATGATTTTTCCTTTCATATTTATCTCATAGCATGCATTTCAACTCTCTTACGTTCGCCTTACCATCATAATAATCAATTTTTTTATACTTTATTAATTTAATAAGTGCTCCCTAAGTGATTATTCATTCAGTTAGACTAATTATTTTTTATCCCAACACTCAAAAAGTATTTGATCATATGTTCTCTTTGATTTTATAAACTTGCACTAATAGTCAAACTATGCAATAAACTAATAAATGGAATAAAAATATTGCATTCCAAAAAAATGGGATTTAAAAAAAATTATCAGAATGATAAATGATGGACGATCATCCCTTATATATTATTTGAGGAGCATTTTTAATAAATAACCTTACCCTCATATATGATTAACAAAATTGTCATTACTTATGTGACAGCTTCACAAGTCCTCTCAGTCCATTTATAAAAATAGACATAATTTATTAAGAGTATTTACAATTCAATGTCATTGGACCTACGTTTTTTATGATGTAATTTTACACCGTGTTATTAATAATCTGTTTGTAGAATCAAACCGTTAAATTGTCATTTAAATATTGAAATACATAAGTGTATGTGAACTATGACAAACTGTACCTATAAATTATTTGAATTAATAATTATATATAATACGTAATAATACATTTTAAACATCCCTCACAAAAAAGACATGTGAACGATGTCTCCACATTTTATTAACCGAATTTATCAATTGCTTTGCATAATAGAGGAGCTAAGTTTGCTGAAAAATTTAGCCTCACTCTGGTCTGGATATACAAAATTTCATATAGATGTTCATGCCAATATACAAATGAACTACATCATTCATTCATAGACCTTAATCTATCACATAAATAGCCACAAGACATTTTAGGTTCTTCAATTTCATATAGATGTTCATATAAATTTTTGGTTGAAGTCTTAACATGTTACATCTGTATTCAAAGATTCATACGTATAGCCACACATCATCAAAAAATACAAAATGTTAGTCTCAGGTTATTCCAGTTGGATATTGACGATTTTAAAATTCAAAAGGATAAGTGATGCAGTAAAGGATTGTAGTAAAGGAGTATTAAATACATACACAAATCAACTTCCGTTAAGTAGTTAATCTTGAGTAAATTTGAATTATTCAAAATTGTCATTGATTATCAGAACAATTACGGGGAAAATTTAAAAACAAATCAATATTAACAAAATAGGCCAAATATTTTACAATTAATATTTGCACTTATTGTGATAATCATCCTGAACTTCAAAAAATATAATTTTCTTGAGTATATGATATAAGCCAATATAATATTTTAAGTATATCATATAACTATAAAATAAGATTCTTGAGTATATTTTGTGTATATATATAATTACAAAGAAAATGGTATGTGACCACATACTATATTATAAGTTAGATTTTCCAAAACATAAATAATAAAATGTAAATAATTTGTATATACAATATTCATTCCACACAATGTGCAAAAATTTTAAAATCGTTTATATTTAATAAAATTGTGTAAAACCGACACTAATTTTAATAAAATTTATTAGTGTGAAAATTCTTTTTTCCCCCACAAAATATTAAATTTAAATATTTAATATTATAGAAATTTTCATGCAATAACTACATAATTAAAGAAAAACATTTTTTATTTCATGCTAATGTAATTTAATATACGTAAAATATGGTAATAATTCAAAAATATGTTTCACTCAGCGCTGAACGCAGTTATCACCTAGTATTCATGTAATTTTGAAAATTATGTTCCACATTTTATTTATCAAAATATTGATATTTCACTATATAATAAGCTTTTCACAATATATAAGAGAAAAATTCTGGTATTTATATACTATAAAAAACATTTTCTCAAAAAAAAAATTATAGAAAACTAGAAAAATAAAAAAATAAATTATATCATAATAATTTTTTTGGAAAATACTCATCAAAATGAATAACCATTGGTAATTTTTTATTGACAATACAACATCAATACCCAAAGAGTTTTTTAAAGAGTAACATAAAAGAGTGAATAAGAAGTAATCATACCATTAAATGTTGTTTGTAATGCTAAAAAACAGTTACAATGGCGATTTGGAAAAAGCGACTTTTCGTGGTTTTACTCCCCACGATTTGGGTTGAAGATGATGATTATGATGGCAAGATGGGATTCAACACACATTTTAATCCCATGTTCCCCTATTTGTCCATGTGGAGTTTATTTCTCACCATGAAGCTTTAGCGGTTTACGAAGAACAAAACTTCTATTTAAGAAATTCGAGATTACTGGTCTCATTTCCTTATACTGATTTCCTATCAAAAGTATTGTATTTTCCTCTCAGATACTACACAAAATTTCTTAGAAGGACAGATAATTTAAGACGTGCTATGTAAGACATTGCACTAGGAAGTGAAGAGACACCAATTGCCTTACCTTTCGATGTTGTACGACAAGCTGCTGAAGAAAACCGTTTTCTCATTGTGGGGCGTGTTACAATTCCTCGTCGTCAGAATGTCAGATCCATCATCTCGTTGATGCCAAGAACCTGGGGATTAGAGGGTTTGGTTCGTGGTCGTGCCACGGAAGGAAGACGTTTCCAGTTTGTCTTCCCGTCTGAAGAAGTAATGGAGACAGTGCTTCATAGAGGTCCATGGGGGTATGCTGACCGTATGTTGGTCCTCCAGCAATGGACCCCTCTTATGGATATGAATTTACTGAATTTCATACCATTATGGATCCAAGTAAGAGGGATACCTTTCCAGTACATGAACCGTGAGGTGATCATACATATTGCTCGAGCCATGGGACAATATATACAAATGGACTACAACGAAGAAGCGGGTTGAAGAATGGAGTTCGTACGTATCCGTATTAACTGGAACATCACTCATCCTCTCAGATTTCAGCGCAATTTTCTGTTTGCTCTAAGAAAAAAAATGTTTTGCTCAGGCTGTACTATGAAAGGCTGCATGGTTTTTGCGAAACTTGTGGCTTGATCACGCATGGCTCAGGCAGATGTCTGATCTAGAATGGTGGCCAAGAGGAGAGACCTGATGAAGGAGATGAAGATGACGATGATCAAGAACAAGAACACCAACCTAACAACAACCCAGGTGTCCACATTGAAAAAATAAATGATGAGGGAGACACCGTTGAAGCAAATGATCCTCTCCCGAAGGAGCCTGTTGATTGCTTCCTGAGGAACAGAAGGTACATCTTGAAGAAGAGAAGGAAGATACCACACGGATCATGGAAGAAGAGGCAGATGATGATGAGCTTTGGAATGGAGAAGCAATGAGAACAATGTATTCTGATGATCTGAACATGGAAGAGATTTATGCTTCTCGGCCTTTTTCTCCACACAGGGATGGAAGTGAGATCCTTAAACGTAAGGCATGGTGACCGAGGCAGAAGGTAACAAGTTGAAGCTGACCCGAATGGAAAGAGGAGATCACAGTGATACAGAACAAGCCAAGAGACAAAAATATATTTTGTTACAAGATGAGCAGGGAGAAACTAAGTGATACAATCTGTGATGATCTGACAAGCATGGTGAGAGGCGCGGTGGGCCCACAACCACCTCTTCCACCATGAGAGCAGCCTGTTGAAACTGTCAAGGGATATATAAAGACTCGACAGTGCTACGCCTAAAAGAGATACAAAGAAAGTATCTCTTGGACATAATCTTCCTATCAGAAACAAAGCAGAAAGATGATTACATTCGGGGCTTGGGATGTAATCTTGGGTACCTTAATTATGTAAGAGTACCAACTAATGGTTTAAGTGGTGGTTTAGCGCTCTTTTGGAAATCAGAAGTAGATTTAACAGTCATGTATCAGTCTCCAAATCTCCTAGATTGTAAAGTTGTTATCAATGGAATCAGCTTCTACTTGTCTTTTGTTTATGGTTTCTCTGATCGTCAACGTAGAACTCTCCTATGGGAAGGATTGGAATGTACGACAACAATCAGAAATGATAAATGGCTCATCATGGGTGATTTTAAGGAAATACTTCACAATGGAGAAAAGACTGGAGGATATATCAAAGCTGACTACACCTTCCATGACTTCAAACAAATGATAAGGACGTGTAACTTCACTGATGTAAATACAATTTGAAATAGATTCTCATGGGCTGGTTAGAGAGGAAACCATTACATTACAAGTTGTCTTGATCGAACAATAGGAAATACAGAATGGCATGATTAATTTCCTTCTGCAGAAACTCTGTTTTTAGAACTTTGAGAATCAGACCACCGGCCTTTAGTTACTTTCTCTAAAGGGAAACCAGAAGAAAGATGTGGTCATTTCATGTATGATGATCGTCTTAAATCACAGGATGGTTTTAAAACTGCTGTTGCTACTCAATGAAATAGACCAACAAGATCAAGACAGAGCTCCTTACTGCAGAGATTAAGACATAGCAGAACTTATATTTCCCAATGGAAGAGAGACCATCAATGTAATGCTAAAGAGAAAACTATTAGACTACTACAACAACTGGATGAAGCTTGCACTAATGGTCATTCAACTATAGAGAGAAAAAGGCTACACACAGAATTACAACATGCTTATATAGATGAAGAGTGGTTCTGGAAACGAAAGAGCAGAAATCCTTGGTTTTGAGAAAGAGATCTCAATACAAAATTTTTTCACTCATCTGCAAAAACAAGAAGACACAGAAACAGACTCTATACTATCCAAGATTCTGATGGAAACCGAAAACAAGGGGATGTTCAGATTGCTAAGGTTGCATAAGAATATTTCAAGTTTCAGTTTAGTTCTCAACAAGAAGATTTGATGAAGTTTGGAGATACTTTTGAAGGATTTGAGACACGTGTAACAGCAGAGATAAATGAGGATATAACAAAACCTGTTACAAATGAGGAGATAAAGACTGCAATATTTGCCATTGGTGCTCATCAAACCCCTGGACCTGATGGTTTCTCTGCTGCTTTCTACCATACCTTGTGGGATGATATCAATGACAGTATAGTCAATGAAGTGAATCACTTTTCTGAGGGTGGTTTCCTCGAGGGATCACACAACCACACCAATATATGTCTAATCCCAAAGGTAAGACCTCCCACCACAATGGCAGACCTTTGTCCCATTGCGTTATGCAACGTTAGTTACAAAATTATCTCCAAAATTCTAGTGATGTGGCTTAAGAGACATCTGACCAACATTATTGCTGAGAATCAAACAACATTTGTTCCAGAACGAATGATCTCAGATAACATAATTATTTCTCATGAGGTATTCCACTCTGTCAATGTCAGAAAGATTCAATCTAAATCCTATATGGCTTTGAAAACAGATATCAAAAAGGTTTATGATCGACTTGAATGGAGATTTTAGGAAGAGACAATGAGGCACATGGGTTTCTGTGAAAAATGGGTAAGCTGGATCATGATATGCATTTCATCAGCCAGTTTCTCAATTTTGATTAATGGGACTCCACGAGGCTATGTTAAACCAGAAAGAGGCATTAGACAAGGAGATCCCTTATCTCCCTATCTTTTCATCTTGTGTGCAGCAGTTCTTTCACATATGATGAATAAAGCTGATGCAGAATGGAAAATACAGGACATCAAAATTGGTACTCAGATTCCAAAAGTAACCTTCTCATATTTTCTGATTATTCCCTATTTTTCACTTTGGCAAATCCAAAGAAATGGAAGAGCTATTAAAAAGACTTTACAGCAATATGAGAAGATTTCTGACCAAGCTGTGAACCTCAACAAATCTTCAATAACTTTCGGAAGTCGAGTTAAAGATCTAGTCAAAATGCAGATGACACATCTTCTTGGCATTTATAATGAAGGTGGAGGAGAAAAATACCTCGGTATTCCAGAGTTTTTGGAAGGAAGAAATCTGAAATATTACAATTTGTCTCAGAAAAAGTCAAGGCTAAAACACAAGGATGGCAAAACCGATTCATAACATCAGGAGGTAAAGAAGTTCTCATCAAATCTATTGCTACTGCTACTTTTGGATATCCTATGAATGTTTTCAAGCTCCCAAAGAGTGTATGTGATGATATCAACAACACACTAGCAAAATTTTGGTGGGGAAAAGATGATGGATCTAAAGGGATTCACTAGTTTGCTTGGGACAGGATGAGTATACCTAAAAAAGAAAGAGGTATAGGCTTTCGAGATATAGAAAAATTCAATGATACTCTCCTCGGGAAACAAGTTTGGTGAATAATAAAAAAACCACAGAGATTAATGGCACGTGTCATGAAAGGGATACTTTGCAGACTCTTCTATACTCACAGCAAGAGTTCAAAGGAAAAGCTCTTATATCTGGCGATCCTTGATCCATGGAAGAGACCTAATGGCAAAGGGTCTGCGTTATATCATAGGAAATGGCCAGACAGCTGAGTTTTGGAAAGACCCATAGATTCCTTCAATACCTCTACGACCACCTCTACCAACTATGGACCAGAACACTACAATTAAGGTATCAGACTTCATGATGCAGGACCAGTCAGGCTGGAATGAAGACCTTATTAGACGTACAGTGAACCCAATAGATGCAGAGGAAATTCTAGCAATAAAACTATGTCCGTATGATGGTGGTGATCAACTTGTTTGGAACTATAACAAGTCAGGGGAATACACAGTAAAATCAGAGTAATGGCTAGCGACGCTTGATCCAAATAATATGCCAATCACTCCACCCCTAGGAAGTACTCCATTAAAGCAACATATATGGAAACTACCTACAACTCTGAAAATCAAACATTTTTTGGAAGATGGTTACATTATCCTTACCTCTGGGAAAAAATATACAACGACAACATGTAACAATCACAGCCAGATGTCCTCACTGTTATCAGGAAGACTCAGCAGAGCATCTTTTCTTTGAATGTATCTATGCGCAAAGAAATTGGAGACTTTCCGGATTCCATAACAGATTGGTTTATCAATCACATATGCCTCTAGAAGACAGACTCAATATTATCCTACAACAAACTTCCATGATGCCTGATCATATGCAGCAATTACCATGGTGGATTCTTTGGCGAATTTGGAAAAGTCAAAACAAAATGATCTATCAACAAAAGCTTACATACTGGAAATCAACACTTCATGCAGCTCACTTTGATGCAAAGGAATGGCTAGATGCACAACAATATACAGCTCTGCATGAAAAAGAAAACAGATGAACTAGAAACTGCAGACAACCAAACAAATGGGAACGTCCACAAGAGGGTTTTATCAAGTGTAATTATGATGGATCTTTTCAGAACATACATACACCTGCTAAAGGGGGATGGATACTTCAAGATCACACATGAATGTTCATAGGAGCAGCCCAGTTACAAACGACCAAGCCGCATAATGATTTGGAGAGTGACTTCAAGCTCTACTAGATGCCATGATGAAATGTTGGAGTAAGGGTTACAGAGAAATTATATTTGAGGAAGATAACCTCAATGTGATAAACCTGGTAACCAAAAAAACTACTAATGTTGATGTCTTAAACTGGCTAAAGGATATATGGAGACGGGAAAGCAAATTTCAAGTTATCAAGCATGTCTGGACAAATCAAGAATCAAACACATGTGCAGACTTACTTGCCAAACAAGCACTGCTGGATCATGTTTATTACCAATATTATTGTCTTATCCCTGATGTAATTTGTACAGCCATAACAAATGACTACTTTGATCATTAATAAATTCAAAGTTTCGTGGAAAAAAATGAATAACCGTTGGGTGACATCATCGCCAAGGCTTACAATTTGTTTTTTCAGGCTTACAGATTTTTACATTACAAGGAACCATCGCCAGAAGTGTGCAAGAGAATGAAAGGGACTGTGCTAACCGGTGAGAAGTTTGTGATGTCTACGTTACGGTTTGATCTCGAAATCGAACACCCTTATGAACCTGCTCTGGATTGGGTTAGGAGATCGGTTAAGATCGAGATGGATGCTAGGATATTTTTGTCTCAGGCTGCGTGGAATTTCATTAATGATGGTTCGCTTTGTTTGCAGTTTAGGCCGAGGCAGGTCGCTCGGCTGCTATATATCTCGGCTCGGACATTGTGAAAGTGAAGTTACCGTGTGATGGGAAGAAAGATTGGTGGCTAGAATTCAGTGTAACAAACGTCAATTATTTGATATTTGTATCCAGACGCTTGGAATTTATCAACAAGACTTCTTCCGGTTAAGAATGTACCTTTTGGAGCATTCCAAAAAAATAATGAAGTTGTTGTTGAAGGTATTGGCCAAAAGAGGCGAATGGTTACACATGGCTTGTAAGGTTTTAGTCTAAACCATCCTTGAATACTTAAGGGGGGTGAGAAACCCTACGATTGTAACAAAACATCATAAAATAATAACAATTTTTTTTTGTTTTTTGTAGTGTATCCATCACAATTGGTAATTTGAATATTTTTCTCAAACCAAGCCGAGCTCGACCACTTTTATGGATAGATCTAGATCCGGATCCAACAAAGTGGGATTGTGTTGCATATTTCCTACGTTGTGGGAGACTTCGACTATGTTATGCCTATGTTCAGTTATACTCTCTGATGATGAAGTGGTATCCAACACCACAATTTGTAGACCACTTTGCTCTGTTTGTAACTCTCAGTGCAAGCTCCCTTCAATTCTTAAGGCTTCCAAGACTGGTGTTGACATATCGCTGCTGCACACGCACGCCAAACGATACTGTCCAAGAAAAAAACCCTGCGACTTCATGACCCGACAGGAAGAACCGCTACTCGATCCACACAACCTTCATACACGGATGCGATGCGCTTCACGTCCAATTACTCCTAAATAGAACTCCAGTCAGATTCCCAACTAAGAAGAGGCCTTACCAGACAGACCCTTCAAATATACTGCCTAAGCGATCACTGCACCCACCACTCTACGAATACACTCTGCTAAACCAACCTCACCACATTACATGTGCATTTCAACCAAAATTTCAACCCTTCCGACTATCTCTATAATGCTTCATAGTCTGAAACCTAACCACCATGACAATCCTAGAAGTTGAAACTTGACTACTACATTAGGACTGGTATACCAGATCGCAAATCCAAGAAATGCAAAGACCATACCACTGGCATGAAAACACTATTGTCACTGATGCTGAGATGAGGATCTCAGATCAGTCGCTTCATCCGTAAATGCAACACCTTCAATTACTAGCTCTGTCGACATGACCTTCACCGTGCATCATCTCCCAATCATCGAAGAAAGACAGCTTCTTTCCAGTTTCCATCCATTGTGCCACTCCTCCAGCCGTCTAACAGTCACATGGACAGGAAGATCCGGGGTCGAGGAGACGTCTAGTCGTTGTCACTTGTCATCGTTAAAAGGGCTCTGCCGTAGATCTCAAAAGGATAAAATCAGATCTGACAAAACCCTTGATTCTAAAAGCCGACCCTCACCTCCATTGTCCTCCTTAGGTCTCGCTGTTTCTCCACACGAAGACGGGTTTGAGCTACATCATCCTCGACGAAACATTGGAAGTGGTCTCACAACTCAGAGATCCGAACCTAGGATTAAGCAAGGAAGGAGAGAGCAAATAGAAAACGAGGAGGAGGAAAGAAAGTTACGCCTCTGGTGACCGTTTCGCCAGCTACCATGTCTTCACAAGAGAAAGAAAATGAGAGGACTGCCAGACAGAAAGAGGATATCAAATCAGAGTATTTAAGAAAAATAAACATAATTATAGAAGTAAGAAAGAGATAGAAACTACCAAACATACATAGTATATAAAATTAGATACTGCCATGATACACATAGTATATCAAATTAGATACTGCCATGATACTCTGGATCCCAATGTCTATTTATCAGAGGGTTATGTCTTTTTAATGTTAAAATTTAATTGTATAATAGAATAAAAATTGGAATAACACTTTTATATAGGTTTGAATTTCAAAATTGGAATTCGATCCTGTTGAGGTTGCTCTTACAAGTTTATGTTTATGGATAGGCCTGAGCGTTCAAATCCGTCATATTTGGTTCGGTTAATTTGAATTTTCAGATTTTCGGTACTATGATCATAAGTTCCATTCATATTTTACTGTTTTTGGGGTTGGATTTGGTTTAGCTCCTTTTAGTTTCGGTTCAGATCAGATTATAACCAATGTTTTAAATTGTACAAAAAAAAATAAACTTAAAAATTAATAATAACATACTCAAAATATACAATTATTCAAAAATATAACTAGAACTAGTTAAACTAACTAAACCAACTAAAAAGGTTTCAAAATAACAAATAAAACTAACTATAGTTTTCAAA